CTAGAGATTTGGAACTGGATAGACTTATTGATAATGTAAACGGAGCTCCTTTGAATCAAAGGGGGCGCAATGTGGCTTAAAGGAATCCTCCACGGAAAAAGCTCCGCCCTCATTACCACAGAAAACGATACCTTAAAGGAATCTTCCACGGAAAGAGTGATCATTTTGTCTTGTGTGTAGGATTAGTATTATCGAAACTAACGCTTATGTTCCGTTCTTTTTGCTATGCTCATGAGGCTAGGGGCCTAAGGGTATCGTTTTTCTGTGGTAATGGAGGCGGAGCTTTTTCCGCGGAAGATTCCTTTAGGGGGGGGGGGGCAGCCCGTAACATTGCTGCAGGAAAACACTGCTTCACGGGAACGATGACTTCTTGGACTAAGCCTTAGCCGAGGAGATGAGGGGATCCGAGGTGCAAAAGCAATTCTCCTTCTTTGCGGAATTCGCCCCTCTCCGTCAGGCTTAGTCCTAGTAGCATTCCTGCAGACTGCCCCCCGCGGGGTACATTGCGACCGCAGGGGTGACTATGGCTTTGAGCGCAGTGTCTCCATCGCTGCCTTAGCGGGATGCTCTTTGCCCTCTCAATCTATCTACCTATCGACCCCGTGTTCAAACCCAGTGCCTAGCTCGTCGACATCAGGCGCGGAGATCACGCGATGTCACAACACCCGCGGGCAGGAGCTGCCACAGGGTCCTGGAATCGTGCTTAGTGGCTGGGATAACTCAGTTCTGTACTTTTGTGTATTGCGAAATGGCGTAGACTGGCACCGGCCCAAAGTTCGCGAAGTATACGTGGACTTTGTGTTTATTCCTTTATTGCTCGTTCTTCGCTTCTTTGTTACCTTCTGCTCCGTTCTTTCGCACTTTTTTGTTATCGTCTCCTGCTTGTTCTTCACATGCGTCGCGTCTGTCTGATGCCATACATTCCCTTTTGCCACTTCGATTTCTGAGCCGGCTATCGCAACATAGGGCATCCCAGCCAGGCTGGCTTGACCGTTTCCTAACAAACGAAGATGTTTCGCGATTTAGAATGCATTGCTACAACAATGCCCCGTATCTTGCGATAGCGCGGAATTCTGTTTTTTTTTACCTCGAATTACTGGCGAATTCTATTGCACAATCACAATAACAATTTTTCAACCATGAATATATTCAAAACCGACATGGCTCATGTATGTGGGAAGTGGAAACATGTAACCCAAGCGCTCAAAACGGTCCCCTCTCTAGGGTCTCATCCGACAAAGGCATTGCAGTGCATAGTTCTGCTAGCTAAAATACCCAGCCTAATTTGGATCAATGAGACTTTAAGTTGCGGGCTGCTACGGGCTTCATTTCTGCGTTCCTTCCTCAGATTTTTTATTGGTATGTTTATGTGTTCTTATGTTGGAAGACGTAAACGTCTATCAAAAGTAATATTCACGCTTGAGCAGCGCAGATTGCGCGTTTAGGAAGAAATCTCCTGGGAGAAAGAAGGTTGATCAGACGCAAGGACTTCCTTTTCGCTTCTAAGGATCAGTCCTATAGTCCTAGTTCCAATAAAAAGTATATGCTTTACGTGGTCTCAGATGCGCTTATAGTTCTGAACCGTATTGCCCTACGGATGAGACCCAAAATGCTTCTCACTGTTTGTAATTCCGAAGCACATCCATCTGAAAAAAATGGGTGCTAACTTAGTTGGGGGGGCACGCGGCGGCGCGGCAGTCTGCTCACCTGGGCTCTCTCGAGCGAGACAGTGTAAACTCGAACATTCCAGCTTTTCACGCATGTCAAGTGACTGCCCCACCCCCACCCCCTAGGCTGGCTACACTCCCCCTGGCCCACGGATTTCCGAACATGCCAGACGAGCAGACTGCCGCGCCGCCGCGTGCCCCCCCCCCCCCCAACTATGTTAGCACCCAAAATTGGAATTAGGAGCAGTTCACAGGTCACAGAATGAGCGCCTGACTCTCCTTTATAATATATTTTAGGTATAGCACAATAGTGGTTCCTTTACTGCAGCAGTTCAACTATTCGGAGAAGGGAACCGGCAGGCCATGCCCTTGCTATAAAAACCACTATATTGCTTTGCTTACAATTTGTGCATGAGATAGAACTAGTTTGGAATTTATCTTTTGTTTCTTCTGTTGTATTAATATCACGGCTTTACTAATGGTTTATACAATGATCGTGAAATGTGTGATTCCTACCTCTCCGAAACGACCCGTTCTCCCCTCAGTTCCCCATCACAAACCCGATATCGATTCTCCTACCGTGGTTGGAGGGCGCTATCGTTCGTCGTTGACTGTCGTGCTGGTCGCCGACGTTGAGAACTGGACTGGGGTATCCCCCATCTTCGTGCGTTCCCCACGTTGTTGAAACCATCTTCTGTGTATCTTTTCTTTTTGCTCTCTTCACTGGCACTTCTGAGTCGTCAACAACTCTGGGCGTTGGACGTACTTTGTTCCATCATCATGAGCACAGTTCAGTCTTGTGACAATAATTTTTTGAGAAACACTCAAATGTTGGGGTTTCCCCCTGAGACTGACAGGTGGCGTCCTGCGTGAAATGCAATTGGCGTCCAAAGTCCAATTGATATGGTTGGTTCCCATTTGTTCAGCGCACATAAATAATGGTTCAGGTCTGAATTTGGTCTCAGAACATACATACACGTACTACCCCGTGACAGTGAGCTTTTGAAAAACATGTGACCTTTAAATATTGGGGTTTCCTTTGGGGAATGCCAGTCGGCGTCCCGTCCCGTCCTTCCCCCAGGCTAAGGGAACAAAGGAGTCCTTTGAAATTTATTCGTTTTCAAATACCCAGCTCCTTTACTTTCTGCACTGCTGCTTGCTTCTACACACACGTACATTACAAATATGCACTTTTTCAGAGCGATTTTGTCTGGAGGCCGGGAAATTCAAGGTTTTTTGTTCCCCTACTCTGGGGGAAGGACAGGATACGGCCCCTGTATGGAAGGCTGTTGGGTGGTTCTTTTACAGTTTAGTTTTCTTGATTCTCATTTCTTCACCACATCCTGTACTTTACTTTCAGTACTTAACTATGAGAAGAAGGCCGCAAATGCACCTGTTAGGTTCACACCTAGGGGCTCACAGAGGGCCATATGTCAAATTGTAGTCCTAATTATGACGTCTGAGATAGGAGTACTATCGATCTTTGGCGTCGTATATAAGTAACAGTGGACGCCATCACTCATAAGTCTTTTCTTTCGAATGTTGCGTAATGTCATCGTTCTGTTTGGGCCGCATTGGCCGAGGTATTTCGTTATTAGGTAAGGGTGCAAAGTTTTTGTCAGCCAAAAGAGTAACAGCAACATTTATAGTAACATGACAATGACGTTTTATCATTTCTTTAAAAGGCTACCTTTAATCCCAATTTTCTTTAAGAAGGCTACCACTAGTTGACTGCAAAGGTAACTGTCTCCTCATCAGGTTGGGTGCTATCGTAGTTTCGGAACGTATCACCTAGTACCACGCCTAGGAGGGAGCAATTTCGGGGAAATGAAGAGAGCTCACGAGGCTAAGCCTTAGGCAGAGTCTCCTCTCCCCCTAGGCTAGTTCATCGTGTAGGACAAAGAAAGAATTGTTTGACGCTGTTTTATGTGCCCTGCCGCCGCAATGCCCCGTATCTTCCGATAGCGCCTCAGGATAATATCCTTGACATCGGTCTAAATCTTTGTAATGCCATGACAACTTCATGACTTCGAAGTTAAGTGAGCAGGGTGTTGGTCGCAGGACAGAACGCGATTTTTTCGCTTTTCAAAGCGCGAAGCTTCTTCGCTGCGAGAAACCCAGGTCCACTAATGATCGGGGTGGAATTTGGACAGGATCTTATGCTGTATTACTTCAGCAGGCATTTCGTGAGAAAATTAGCATTTCAACTTGCTTTTCTTTTCCTTGAAGGACGTATTAGAATAATGTGTACATAACAAGTAAATCTGCTTAGTGGTGTAGAGGCTCACATTAACGAATCTAAAGTCCTCCTTTCGTAATAACTTCGTATAGCATACATTATACAGAATGTTCTATTCCTGATACGAATCGCACAATAAATTCGGTTTGGTATGGTCTGTGTTTGCTTTTATATGAGCTGTACAATGTGTTTGGCGTTTTGTGTTTTGTTTGCTAACTGTTGTAGCAGCTGAGGTCTGAAGAAGGTGTTGATGGTAAAACGAACCACCGTCAAGGCAAGAGCTTCAGAACTCGCTTAATGCAAAAATAAGCCGTTGAACGTGGTTGCTGGGACGTTCCGCGACACCTCACTCGCACCGACACTGGCGTAAAGACCCGCCCATTATGTGGCGCTCATTTCTCACTTCGTGCTCACTCGACATGAGTGACATTCCATTCACAGGTCTCTTTTACAGCCTATCAGTGGTAAGAGGATAGAGTTGAATTCGCATTATGATATTCGTTGTGTTTACGAATGTACGGTGTGAAGTTCCGTGAAGTTCTTTCTGATTTTCTGAACATTTGATCTCATCCCTTTTAAACCGCAGCATTCCGTTTTTCATTCGCATTTGAGCGATGGTGTTTGCATATTAGTTGGCGTGCCCATGTGCACGTTCATCTCTCGGGGTTTCCCCCATTTTTTCGGGTGACGTGGCGGCCGTTATTCATTGTCAGTGAACCTCCTCCTACGTGTCAAACCGCATATAAACGTACAGCGGTGGGTGTCGCTTCGTGCAAAACAACCACGAAGCCATCCCTCCGTTCATTTTCCGTCATCCGGTTCTCGCGCAACGGTTGCTCTATGTTTGACTTATTAAGTGGTTCTTCTAAACATTCATAATTCCAGGTTAATTAACCGGAAGGTTTCCGAGGAGTATATTATGTACTTTTTCTGGTTGGCGTAGAGTGTGGAAGTGCTGACTTGTGCGAAGCTTCCTATTGGTTATATTGCTGGTAAGTTACTTGTTTAGTCTAGCTACAGTAAGGAATTCTTAAATATGTGCTGCTTGCAGATCTATTTCGTACAGTTCAAAAGCGCTGAACACATCTGCCATTATGATGTCTACGGCACCGAAGGATACATCTATTTTTACGCAGCTTCTTTCGAGAACTTTCTCCAACCGAGCTTCTCAAGGTAAGCTTAGATGTTTTGAACTGACCTTCCAGAGAAGGAATTTCATGTGATTGGACAGTAGGCTCAGAGAAACATAGCTTGGCGATTAAGTCCTTAGGGTAGGGGCATTCAAAGCAGAGCATTCAAAAATTGCACTTGGTGAAACTAGGACTAAGCCCTAGAGGGAGAAATGCCAGAGGAGCAAAAGTTGCCCTTTCTTTTCCCTAGGCTTATTTTCAAGTTCCACAAATGTTTCACTCATTTCAATGTCCCCTCCTCTCCCCCCCCCCCTAACAACATGAACGCCCATTGCTTTGTTAGGGACGGACTGATTTTTAAGAGGGATCCTGTTGTAGTTGTAGTCCTTGCATGCTATTTCTCTAAAAATCCCAAAGAATCAGGTGATGACTTACTACTTTTACAAAGTGCTTAATGCTGTATATGTGTTCATGTTATTCATGAATATCATCTAGTTTACATTTCAGTTGTGACACCGCCATCGACGGAGAAGCAGCAACAGTCTCTGTCGTCATCCTCAGATAATCGTAATAATACTTGTAAGTTGAAGCTTATATTAAGAGATCAGTGGCTACGAAAATGGCAAAGTACTATCACCAAACCCGAACATCTCTAGTTAGCAGAATAAAATGCGTTGTGGAAACTTAAAGGGCCCCCTATTCCTCTCCTTTTTCCGTAACCCCCTTCCAAACTTTCTTCATTGAGAATCAGTTGAGGATCAAGAAGAAATCATATTTATGACAAAAAAGTGACCTAAAAAGACGTTCCATACATCAGTAGTGTCTGCTGGGCGAATGGCTCACGTAAATATTGTCGTCTAGCGAGTCATTCCGTACACTTCGATGTTTATACCATAGTGGCCTACTAACTAATATGGACTACATAACTTTCAACGCTCGGAAATGACCATTTCTGGTCGCTTCCCGTTCTAAAGTTCTACAGTACAGTTGTTGCGTAGGGTGACCTTGGTCACGTGGGCTATCACCTGTCGTTCCGGTAGATCGTCTGCCCAACTACTCACTTTGCGTAAATACGTTCATTTCGTCGATGGCTGATAGGCTCCTGTCGTTGAAATCTGTATCGGACGCGTGTGAAAAAGAGTTGGACGAAACTCGGGGGCATTTCACCAGGACTAATGCTTTTCGGATTTGTTCGGGTATAAAAGGGCTGCAGCGATTCTAAACAAATTTGCACCTCTGAAAAGCCGCGAGTCAGGTTGAGGTCTTTTTCATAGAGGGTTTCTCAGGTAGACTTCTTGTATACATAAGTTGGTACGGGGGTAGGGGTGCGTCATACCTTCCTACATGGAGCTACGTGAATTCTATGTGAAAATTTGTGCGTCATGGGATCGAGCTCGTCGTTCTCTGAGTCATTCGCGCTCACAAGAACAGGGCTTCCCCCGCGTTTATCGACTAAATGCATGACGGGTTCTCTTTGACGTCATTTAGCCCTAAGTCTCTTTCATTACCGGTTCGCAGGGTGCGCTTGGGCATAGCTTACGCAAAGCGCCCTAAATGTTCACACCTGAAGATGTTTTGAGAGAAAACAACTCATTTATTATACATACATATATACTGGATACTAAGTTTGATTTTTAGGTTCCAGTCAAGCGCTCTCCCAGAGTCTCGATTGGGGACGTCGAGAGCCCTATTTAAGGCTTGCTCATGTGTTCGATACCAACAATTACTGATCACTTACCGCTTTAAATTATCTCGTCTGATTTCATGTGTATTTTGCTGCTGCTCTTCGGCTAATATGGGTTCTCTTCGTATAATATGTATGGAACAATAAATCTATGATGTCGCATTTGTATTGCTTTCTAATATTTCTTTTCCAATGGGCAGCTACCTTGTTATACAGCAGTGCTGTTGACGATTGCTTGCTTGCTAGGTGCTTAGGTGATCTTTTGTTCGCTCTGGTGCCCAGTTGACGGAAGTCGTTCGACTGCTGGTTGCCGCAAGTCGGCCGGTCGCGCTGATTACGGTCATTTGCGTCCGACCAGCTGCGTCGTCGCATAGTCTGGTTCGATTGTTGGTGGCGTGACTGGCGGAGTTTCTGTTTACTGAACGGGCGTACGAGGCGAGGCAGTGCTTCTGGGACTGTTTGGGTTCTCAAAATGAAAAAAAAATTCTGCTCAGCACGCTACTGTTGAATTCTTGTGAGTACCAGCAGGGACGTGACGATCAAAGTGAATTTTTTTCTGATGGAAAACGCGAAAGTCAACAAAGATGTTTTGTAAGACGACATCTTTCCTCTGCATGGACTTGAAACGGCCGAGATGGCCTCGCGATAAGGACTCTGCAGGACGCGGAAGCAGCATCGGCCTGCATCAACCAGAATTCCCACGTGTCTGGGTCACGTCATCATTGCTTGCAGACTGGTTCATTGAAGAAAAAGCGCTGCGTGGGACATCGACTAGCTTCTGCAAGACTCTTCACGATGCAAGCACGCATTTGATTTCTTTACGATTCTAGACTGAAGAAACCTTCACGTCACACTCGAATTGTAATAAGTTCATCCAAACCAAATTTGACCTTTTGCACGTTCAAAATGGAATAATCCCGAACCCAACCAAAAAGGGAACGGGATTTTGAGGATGAAGTAGTTGAATGGAAAAATGGATTCGTATTTGATGGAAGTACGCAGTGGCAGTATGGCTATGAGCTCGAGCTCCCACTGTCTGCATCAGTCTGAGGTGATTTCCCTGGTGTGACATGTATTTCTCAACTGAGGCAATTTTTTTCGGAGAACGGGGGGGGGGGGGGTGGTGCTGTGTAGACGGAGGGGGGGGGGCTAGATGAGCGGAGTTTGTCTCGCGCAGTTGTGTTTTGTGTGGTGGTGGGATGGGGGGCGGTGGTGCTAAAGATCGAGAGGATGGGGGGGGGGGACGCGGTGTTCGTGAGGGTGGTGATAGTGGAGCGTTGAGTGGAGTGTGGTGCGCGTGTGATCGGGGGAGTGGGGAGGTGACGTGTGTGGTGTTGAGGGGAGGCGAGCGGGGTTAGGGGTGTCAGTGGCGGCCAGTGTTACGGGGGGGAAGGGGCGGGAGGAGTGGGAGTCTGAGAGTGTGTGGGCTGCTAGGGTGAGTGTGTGAGGGAGTGTGGGTTGAGGAGGAAGACGAAGTGGCGTGAGAAACGCGAGGGGGCTAAAAGGCGTGGGTGGGTTGCTAGTTCGGACCGGGAGGGTGGCGGAGCGACGGCTGTGTGGTGGTTCGGGGTGGTGCGTGTCACCAAATTGGTGACAGAGGAGTGCTGAAAACACCCGTGTTACGGCGCCGTTGAGTGTGGGGGGATGGAGGTTGGTTCGGAGCGCATTTGGAGCCGAGGTTGGCAGTGGTTCTGTAGGTGGGTGGAGTGGAGGGAGAGCGAATGTGAGCGAAGGGCGTTGAGGAGAGTGGTGCTGTTGGTGTTTGTTCATGATCAGCGGGACGGTGTAATTAAATCATCACATCACTAACTAGATCGGTATGGGGTGGGAAAAGGGAAATCGCAGGCGATATCCCAGATCATTTCATTAGGGATGACCATTCGCGAACTACGGCGAACAACAAACAACATGAAATGCCTCCTTTGCCACTCCTTATTTAGTATTTACTCAGTGGAGACGTGAACAAAAGCCTGCGTGAATTGAAGTATTATAAAAACCATTTTCTCTAATAATGAATGCTCGCTTGGGCACGTAAGGAGATTTGAAAGCTCGGCAACGGATTATTACCGGAGCCGTGGTCATCACTGGACGGATGACGGCCAGACAGAGGGGGTTTGGAATTAGCTCGAGTCAATCTTCAAGTAGAAAGTGAACCATTGTTCCGGTGGGTGTTACAGACCACCGAGTATTGCTAGAAAAGATATGAGCTGTGTCTCGATATCGAGCAGATTGTCTCATCGAGCACGGTTCTGGTTCCAGCTATACTTGTATGTGGCCATGATTATCGGGTGAAGGCAAGCTATGAAGCGAAGATCCGAATGTTCACGAATGGAGCCGTAGTTGATCATGAAAGCCATAAGAATTGTGGTTGGGCTGTTTTGTGTGTTGGAGATATTGGTTCTGTGTTATCACTTAGGTAGCTTGCAGTTGCATTTCATTTAGATTACCGGCTTTGAGTTCAGGGCACGGCAATGGAATGTGTAGACGTCGTTACGGCTGCGATTTTCACCGTTGCCCATTTGCAGAGTTCTAGTAAGCAAAGGAACTTCGGGTCGTGGCAATCGCTTCGGCACTCTTAGGTCCTTTATAGGGAGATGGATGGTCTTTTTTGTCATTTGAAAAGTCAACCTTTCTGAAGGAAATTATAAGATGAGGTTATTCAACATTTGTGACTACCTATGGAGTGTTCTTTTAAAAGCACGGATACTATGGAAATCGTGTTCGGAAGGGAAAAAGGAGTGTGGGATGCATTACGCGAGAAAAAAATGGGAGAGGAGCCATTGGAGAAATAGTGCAATTAAGGATCTCGTATCTCAAGGAGGGTTTTTCAGGGCAAGCAGCTGCTTTTCAAAGCAGTTTCCTCCTTACTGTAGGGACGCATGTATGGATCCAAAACCATGTTTCATTCTCGCTGAACGCTTTTGATGAGCTGACAAGGGTAGGAGGAGTGTGGACTCTCAATTGGTTCGATCGCGGCGGGATAATTTGCGCTGAAGGAGTGGCGGGCTATTTTGACCTTCGAATTATGGTCCTAACCACGAGTATGACATTCGATTTTGACATCTAGCACCATTCAGCACCAACACGTAGGCGAGCGAAGAGCGAAATGCAAAATTCTACGCTACGAGGGATCGAACCATTGGCAGTACCTGGCGCTTCTTTTTGGTACTGCTAAAGCCGTTCAGAAAATGAAACATGGTTTTGTGTTCTCTACATGGGTCTCTGCAATATGCATGAAACCTTTTCAAAAAAGTGCAGCTTGCCCCCTTGTTAGTGAGGTCGACCATGGTTCGACGGAGAGACACAACTTGAACAGTAGAGAGAATACGCGATAAAGAACGCCACACGAGAGAACGCAGACGCCGAGAATTCTTGCAGCGATCGCAACCGCCAAGAAAAAGCTCTAGAACCCTCGTTGCACACTTTTGAGTCCACGTCTCTTTTGAATATGAATTCTGCTACGTCACTCACGGAGAGGTTGCTCCAAGGATCTTAGCGCAACCCGTGCATTCTAGAAGCAGAAGCCGAAACGGTAGCAGGGGACAAGGTTCCGCTGTTTCATAATTATGGTCGAGGTACTTGGCATGAGACCGGTCAAACTCTAATTTGATTATTCGAGTCGAAGATTCCATAACCCTCCGTTTCTTCGAATAGCAGGTGGTTCCACGTTGCTTTTGGAGTGTATAGATGGAGTCCTCAGATTTTTTGAATAGTACGGATGGATTTTGTACTCCTAACTCAATGCAATTCGATCAGTGATAGCAATGGTTCCTATATTGCTCGAATTTATTCTGGATCACAAGAACTAGATAAAAATTGCAGAAATGTAATAAAGGTTTTCGTCCAGCTTCATAAATATGAACAACCGTCAGTCGCAGCAAGCATTTTGTTGTTCATTCCAATCCACTGGTTCCGGAATGAATGCAAGTCGTGATGACTCTTCTGAACAGCGCAGCGCTGCGCAAGTGTGTTTTGGCTTTTCGTCCTTCGTGTTCTCCAGGCTAATTACTGGAGCTGATGTTTTCCATAGAATGAACTTCCAGTTCTTGATGTGATACGTCACCAGACTGCCAAGGTTCATTAGTTCCCTTAATGCGTTTTGTCGCGCAATCACCAAAGGACTAGCGGAAGTCGTCGCACTTTGTACCACATTGAAGAATAGGGTGGAGATGCCTTCATGTTTGTTCACTGACTGTCTCCGTCGAACACGATGGAATGTTTCTAATTTCAACGACACTGGGTGGTTCTCTCGGCTTTTGTCAGCGTTTTACATAAAAAAGGTGAAGTCACAGGTTCTTTTCAGCATCTTCGGGGAATTCCCTCGAAACAAACACGTTCCGGAACGATGTACAAGTCAATATTACTTGACATGTGACCGGTCAAATCTAAGTGATTATTCGAGTCGAAGAGATCGACAAAATCTTGGATGATTTCGTTGAAGCCCGCGAGTTGAATATTGGCATTTCTTGAGAAACACAAAGTCACTGAGGTCCGGTTGAAGTCGTGCTGAAGATTTTAATCATCCTGGAGATCAATTTTATTGCATTATGTCGAAAATGAATGACACATTGACCCAAACAAGAGATCATCAAACTGAGTATTGCTTCTTGTAATTGCTCACGGGCTTGTCAGCATCGATTAGCTAATGTTCCAGCTTCCATGAAGCCTGAAAGGAATGAATACCTTGTTACTAAATTACTAGCCATCAGCATACCTTATTACGGATCTGATAGCTGTGGTATTATACTTCACCTGAATATGGAAGCTGATGTCCATGTGGAGGGGGAAGGCATTCAAAAACTTTCGAAACAGGGCATTTAAAACATGGCTAGCTGAACTGGGACTAAGCCAAGTGAGGAGGAACGCCAAGCGAAGCGAATTGCTGCTCTTTCCCACAAATCTCTTCCCTCCTACACCTTGGTGATAAGTCACTGTGACGTCCTAGGCTTAACCGTATGCCCTACCAAAGGCCTTTTAATGCCGTCGTGGAATGTTTTTGGATCCCAAGGACATGAGACATGAACGCGTGGGATATGTAATACTTTC